CTGGTCGGTAGCTACCTCGAAGAACCAAATGCTCACGCGTTCTACGAGGGAGGGTTCGACTCATTCACCAAGGGTACTTGGAAAGACTTTCTCAATCGCCTTTTCGCCTCCTGCCTTCCTCCTGACTGGAAAGACCGATTGTACGAGAAGGCTCAGCATCTTAAAATGTCACCGTTCGAAGATTTCAAAACTTATAGTACCCGGGCTAGAGGAATTCAAATTCTGATTAATTTTCACACTGTCACATTAGATGATCATCAGTTAGCGAAATTTGTAGAGTACGGTATGATAGAAGAATTGAAGACTCACGTGAAACTCTGGGGATTTTCGAAACACTCTAAAGAATTCACTTACCATTCGTTCGAAAATCAGTGCGAGACGTTATACGAATCATTAGTAGCTTCTCACATAATTACGAAGAGAATCAGATCAAGCAACTTCGTCAGTTCATCTCATGCACAAGCTCGACCTACCTTGACGACCAACGCGACTCCACGTTTGACAGATGAGGAGTTCCAGTGGAAAATTCATTCATACTTAGATTCAATCGGCAAGTGCCACTTCTGCAAGAAATGGTGTGGTAGTGAGTACAGAGGTTGTAAAGGACCCTATGTCAGGGAGAAGACCGTTTTTCCGCCAGGATATGTCGCTCCCCCCAAACCTGCCAACTACATTCCCCCGAAAGCTAGATCTTCACCTCCTGCGAACTTTCACCAAGCCGGCAGAGCGACTCAACCTCCAGCAGGCCGTCACCCCACCTCGTACGCGAAAGCAGCGGCGGCGGCAGAGTACCCAGAACTCGATGAAGCCTCGGTGGCTGCTCTTCAAGCTCTAGATGACGAACTTGACCTGGCTGAAGCTGAAGGGTGCGTGACACCTCCCAAACCTCCTCGCGTGATCGTTGAATTCACTTATCATGGACAAACCTTACGAGCATTAGCTGATCCTGGGGCCGAGGTCAATCTATTGACAGGTCAGGCGGTCGAGCGACTTAAACTCAAGCGAAGGAAACTCGTCCGACCGACCCAGCTTAGCCTTGCAGTAACCACAGATTCTCCGCCACCTTTGCTCACAGAGTTCACTACAATAGACTTGTTGGAACCGACGATTGGCAGACAATTCAACCGGACTTACTGCAAGATTGGGGATGTAGGAGGAGAATTTGACATGATCCTTGGGACACCCTTTCTAAATCTTTTTCAACTATCTGTTTCTGTCAGCCAACGTGCCATTGTGTGTGAACGTACTGGATTAAAAATTTATGATTACCGTGTCTTGAAAGAATGGAATGAAAAAATAGCCAAGTTATCTATCCCGCGCATAACTGAACCTGCCAAGGAGTTTCAATCAGCATGGGAGAAGAGTGTTAGCATGAAAGAGAAGGCACCTTCAATGAGTGAGTTTGAACAGAGTGAGCGAGAGTTATTTGAAGAATTCAATGATTTGTTTCCGGTGGATATACCTGCGGTATCAGACGAGGCTGAAGAAGAAGGACTCTTCGTGGACGGGTCCTTTCCGGAACGTCTACAAAATGAGAGCTCAAAGGTACGACATAAAATCATACTGAAAGATCAAAACGCAGAAATAAAAGAGAAGCAATACAATTATCCACCGAAACACATGAACGCGTGGAAGAAATTAGTTGATCAACATCTTGAAGCCGGAAGAATCAGACGCTCAACTAGTCAATACTGTTCGCCAAGTCTTATTATTCCGAAGAAGGACCCTGCTGCACTTCCAAGATGGGTATGTGACTACCGCGTCTTGAATAGCCTGACCGTGAGGGACCGCGCGCCATTACCTAATGTGGACCGGTTGGTCAGGTTGGTTGGAACAGGGAAAGTTTTTTCAATTATCGATCTCACAAATGCCTTTTTTCAAACAAGGATGAGAGAAGCTGACATCCCATTGACGGCTGTTCATACACCTTGGGGCCTCTACGAGTGGTGCGTCATGCCGATGGGACTTACGAACGCACCTAGCACCCACCAAGGACGGCTGGAAGAGGCTTTAGGAGACTTATTGAATACAATTTGTGTAGTGTACTTGGACGACATCGTCGTATTCTCAAACTCAGCAGAAGAACACGCCATTCATACCCGCAAAGTTCTTCAAAAATTACGAGAAGCCAACCTTTACTGTAGCAAGAAGAAAACAAAACTGTTCCAGAAAGAAATTAAATTCTTAGGTCACTGGATTTCAGAGAATGGTATTAGGGCAGATGACGAGAAGGTAGAGCAAGTACTCAATTGGAAGACACCACGATCAGCAAAAGGCGTCAAAAAGTTTCTTGGCACCGTGCAATGGATGAAGAAGTTCATCTGGGGACTTGAGAAGTATGTTCATAAGCTAACACCGCTCACTAGTGTCAAGTTGGACCCCTCAAAATTCAAATGGGGCGCAGAGGAAGATGAAGCATTCAACAAAATCAAGCAGCTGATGACGTCTTTACCACATCTACGAAATATCGACTTTGACTCTGACGATCCTCTGTGGCTATTCACTGATGCAAGCGGGACGGGCTTGGGTGCAGCATTATTTCAAGGGAAAGAATGGAAACTCGCAAACCCAATCGCTTACGAATCCCGCCAAATGACCCAAGCCGAAAGGAACTATCCGGTTCACGAGCAAGAACTACTAGCGGTGATACACGCTTTGCACAAATGGCGTATGTTACTTTTGGGTATGAAAATCAATGTAATGAGCGACCACCACTCATTAACATACCTCCTCAAGCAGCGAACACTCAGCAGAAGACAAGCCCGGTGGATTGAGACTTTGGCTGATTTTGACGTAGATTTCAAGTATGTTAAAGGAGAAGATAATGGTGTAGCAGATGCCTTGTCAAGGAAGGATCATGGAGAAGATGATGAAGTAGAACAAGACGGAGTAGATTGTATTGCGGCATTGGTAGAAGCAGGTCCTACATTAGCGCCGGCGGTGAAGAAGCGGATTAGGGAAGGATACGGCACAGACTCCTTTTACAGCACAGTCGCCTCTGTTCTTCCGTTACGGGACGACTGTGTGATCATAGACGACTTGCTGTTCATCGAAAACAGATTGTACATCCCGTACACAGACAACCTACGCCAAGAACTGGTTGATGAAGCTCACACCCGACTAGGACATTTAGGGTACTTGAAGACGATCCACGATCTGCGGAGAGACTTCTTCTGGCCGCGGATGGCAAAAGATGTCAAGGAATTTGTACAGTCTTGCGACGTATGCCAGAAGACAAAAAGCCCAACTCAAGCGCCGGTAGGCAAAATGCTGACGCCATCTATCCCAACGTTGCCACTCGAGTGCTTAGCTATTGACTTCGTGGGACCATTACCGAAAGTTAACAACTATGATATGTTGCTCACGTGCACATGTCGTCTGACGGGATTCACGAAGTTGATACCATGCGGTCAAACAGACACTGCTGAGAAGACTGCCACACGATTCTTCTCGAGCTGGATTGGCACGTTTGGGGCGCCAAGGACAATCATTAGCGATCGAGACAAAACCTGGACGTCTGGTTTCTGGAAAAGCCTAATGAAACGTTGTGGTACAGATTTTCACATGTCCACGGCATTTCATCCTCAAGCCGACGGTAGGAGCGAGCGCACCAACCGCACTGTAGGTCAGATTTTACGAACCTTCACAGCCAGAAGACAAGGAAAATGGCTTGAATCCTTAGCAGCAGTTGAATACGCTATCAATGGCGCAGTCAACATAGCCACGGGCAAATCTCCGTTCGAACTCATCTTCGGGAGAGAACAGAGACTACTCACGGTGCAAGAAGGCGAATCAACAGATCCTCCAACTCTGACGAAATGGATCGACTCTCGACACGACTCCTGGCTGTCAGCCCGCGATGCCTTGTGGACAAGTCGCGTACAGCAAGCACTGCAGCACAACAAGCACTGTCGCGTGGCCGAACCGCTTCAACAAGGCTCTTGGGCGCTCTTAGACGCATCTGACTGGCGTGGCAAGCATCAAGGAGGCGTCCACAAACTACGGGAGCGATTTGAGGGACCGTACCGAATCATCAAGACATCTAATCACGGGCAAAATGTCGAATTGGAACTACCGACTGGCGACAGGAGACACAACGTCTTCCACGTTTCGAAAGTCAAACGGTATGTGGAAAGGGAGGATGGAGGGGTCAACACGCTAGTTGAAGGGATCAGGAAGTAAGTTCCTCTCCTTTGTATGCACCGCCGTCGTATACTACGAAAATTGTCAAAAAACAACACCTAGGCCACCTTGTGAGCACGTCTTCTCCGACCTTTCTCCCCTAGGTGCCAACAACAAGTAACGACGAACTGCATGGACTTCAACGCAACAACGACCCAACGCCCTTACTTAATCAACTCAACTTCAATTTTTTCTTATTTCTTTTTCTTTCTTTCTCTTTTTTTTCTGTTCCTTTTATTTTTATGTTATCTTTTCAAAAAAAAAAAAAATCAAACTACTTTCAACCTTATTTTTACTTAGTTCAATTTAAATTTCGTTACCATTTTCTTTCCTTTTTTTCAATTTTTCAAATTATCTATCAACTTCAAAGGCTGGCTCTATTCCTTTGTAGGAGGGGAGACTGTAAGACCTACGGTCATTACACAACCACATAAGCCTTACTTCTAATAATTACTACTTATAACTTAAGACACTTAAGACATATATATCTTGTTCTCAATTCCTTTCTCGATTCTGGTTCCTTAGAGATACCGGGACTGATCTCCCACCCGCTATCCTTCGGAACCAGGTAATGTCACTATTCTCATTTCTATTTGATTTCATCTACTATGTTGTACAGCTGAGAGATACCGGGACTGATCTCCCACCCGCTATCCTTCGGAACCAGTCTATCTGTGTTCTCGTTGGTATTGAAATTTACAGATCAGGTCTCTTGGGTTCTAGAAACCTTGCTGTGTCCCACAGCGTCCCGCCTCTCGTGTCTAGTGAGGTATTCAAACCTTACAATGATACCAATGTTCAAGCTTCAATTGATCAATAAGAAAAAATCAAAAAAATGTTTTTATTGGAAAAAAAAATTACAATTTAAAGAAACATTCAAAGCAGACAAAGAAGAACAATAACAATTTTCTAAAGTGATAGAGATAGATAGAGAGAGAGAGATTAGTAAAAGGACGTTGTAGTAGTAAAGAAGATTCTTTAAACTTGCATAACAAAAAAGATGAAAAGTATATTCGTAGAGAGGATTTTCATTGGAATTTGATTTGGTTTGGTTTTTTGGAAGAAAATCAAAACAAGGAAATTTAAAAACAAAATGATGACATGATGTTTTCGTTTCAAAAAAAGATTTAGAACCTTTCTGACTTTCCCCAATGAAAACCCTCATACCATCAAAACCCCTACCAAAAGGAACCTACTCACTCAAACTAGAAAAATAACAAATCCCAAAAAGTCAGTTCAATCTCAAATCCCCTGAAAAAAAACAAACTAAACCAACCTTTGAAACTTTTTAATAATATCATCATGTAAACCATTAAAAGTTTTCAACAAAGTTTCTTCACCATCCTTAGGATCTTCAAATTTCATTTGACTTAACCTATACCATTCCTCACTTGTAAGTTCCCTAACTTTATTCCAAGTTAAAGTCTTACTATTAGTAGAATTAGATTCCACTGCTTTTTGTGCTTGGGTGTAATAAGTCATCAAGTTCTTTAACATCGCATTCGTTTTATACTACAAAGCCCTCACAAACCAGTCAGTCATTCAATCGCTCAAGCCAAAAAAAAATAGAAAGTCAAACTTACAAATGGACAATACCTATCATAACTACTCATCCCATTCTGTTGTAAATAATCATCTTTAATCAATCTAGCTACATCTAATGTCACCTTATCACCTTCACCTAATGCACTTTTTCCAACCAATTGAACAATCTCAGATAATTCATCTTCTTTTTGTAAGATCTCTTTAGCTTTACTTCTATAGTTTATAAAATCAGGTTCGGTTTTAGAATACCATGGTTGTAATACTGACATATACCTATTCACAATCAAATTCAAAATCATCAGGAAACTGAACACTTGGTGGGGTTCTTTTGTTCCAAGAGAAGTGCTTGTGACTTACTTTGAGTATGATGCATTCCAATTGACTGATGGGAAATGTTTTCTTTGAGCCAATTTCTTGTCTAATCCCCAAAAAACTTGTACGATATTCAAAGTTTGAGAAGTAACTGGATCTGAAAAATCTCCACCAGGTGGCGAAACACTAACGAGAAAGAAAACCCTCCCCAAAAAGTCAACTTTCAACATTTTCAAAAAAAATTGAACCAATCAAAAACACTCACGCTCCAATAATCGAAACCGTACCCAATCTCTCAGGGTTACCTAAACATTTAGTTTTCCCAGCTCGTTCATAAAACGAAGCCAGTTTAGTACCCAGATAAGCCGGGTACCCTGAATCAGCTGGCATCTCAGCCAATCGTCCTGAAATCTCTCTCAAAGCTTCTGCCCATCTAGAAGTGGAATCGGCCATCATGGCAATATTCATCCCCATATCTCTGTAATACTCTGATAAGGTGATACCGGTATAGATTGAAGCTTCTCGAGCTGCTACTGGCATGTTGGATGTGTTTGCTACCAAGGTGGTTCGTTTCATGATGGCTAGGTAAAATTCGGATTGGACGTTAGTCATCTGGGATCCGGAAAACATGAGACTCTGGAAAGGAAATGGTGACTTACGTTCTTCTTTACCATTGAATTCCATACTCAACTCAGGAAACTCCATCAAGACTTCAGCCATTTCATTTCCCCTAGAAAATAGAGAGGACAATTAAGGATCTGAAGTCAATACAAGATGATTCGACTTTGACCGACTTACCGTTCACCACATCCTACATAGATAATTATATCTGAATTAGAGAATTTAGAAACGGCCTGAGAGATCACCGTTTTACCACACCCAAAAGCACCAGGAATAGCAGTTGTACCACCTTGCACACATCTAATCCACAAACCAAAGTGATCAGAATCTACGGACAAGGGATAGAGAAGAAGAGGACGAACGGAAATAAAGAGTCAAGGACACGTTGACCGGTTAAGAGAGGGAAATCGGGTGTGAGTTTCTCGGCTACGGGTCTAGGTGCTCGAACGGGCCAAAGTTGGTACAACTTATGAGAGGTCTTTTTCCCTTCAAACTCAGTTTCAAGTACGACATCCTGTTGAAAGAGAAAGAAGAGAAATGAGGATGATCAAAGAATTAGAAAGAGAAAGAAAGAAAGAAGACGAACATCAACCGTATAAGAACCTTTTTCAGCAAGATAAGTGATGGTACCCATTGCTCTAGGAGGTAACATGATCTTATGTTCTGAAACTAAAGAGTTTTCATAAACTGTACCATAGATATCACCACCACTAAGATGATCACCTATTTTGTATGAAGTAGGAGTGAAATCCCATTCACGAACTCGATCTAAGGCTTGGGTGTTGATACCTCTTGGAATGTAAATCGAATTGGAAAGTTCTGCTATTGATTTTAATGGACGTTGGATTCCATCATAGATATTCTAAACCAATTAAAGAAGATGAGATAAGTCAGATGAAGATGATGATTTAAATGAATAAGAGATCAATCCATGGTCAACATACCGACATCAAACCAGGCCCAAGTTCAACCGACAAAGGTTTTCCAGTTCTAAGCACCGGATCTCCAATGGTCATCCCACTAGTTTCTTCATAAACTTGAATTGTAGCTCGATCCCCATCAATCCTAATGATCTCTCCTACCAATTCATCATGACCTACTCTAACTAATTCATACATGGCTGCTCCTTCCATCTTTTCTGCTACTACTACCGGTCCTGATACTGAATAAACTGATCCGAATTTCGATTCTCTTTCTTCTTCTGATATTTTGGCCGTTTCTGATTTGGCTCGATCCATTCCTCCCGCCTTTCAAAAGAGGGTATTGGAAGTTAGTTATTTTGGGGTTTTAGAGATTAGATTGGGTTTACTTACCATGATGAAGATGTGTATTGAGGTTGAGTTGGATTGGTTGATAGTTGGATGGTGGTGACTGTGAGTGATGATGGGTTGGTTCAAGTTGATTTGAATTCGATCGATGATGTTGTAATGATAGATTTCACAGTTCATAAAGTTTGAGTGATATGTTCCAGTTTTAAACCCATGAATACCATATCCCATGATTTGGATTGGTTTGTTTGTCTTGTCTCTCTCTCTCTCTGACTCTCTTCATCAACTTTTCAATCGATCGATATCACAGATAATAATGGCAGTAAGTCACTTCGATATGTTTCAATCGACCATTCAATCAACTACTAACTCATTCCTATCTCAATCTCTTCTAGCTAAATCCAAACCAAGACAAGGTTAATGATCTCTTCTTTCATTCGTTCATCCATTCAAATCCATCAACTGATTAGGATGATTCCGGTCAAATAGCTCCTGTTTGAAACTTCAGAAGAAGTAGGAGTCGGTAAGATTATCACTTTTTATTCTGATTTATTCATTCCAAGGCTGGAGGTGTCTAAGATTTTATAATTTGACCCTCCGGCAGCTCCTACTTTTGTAAGTTAAAGTTTTTTCTTTTCAATCAAATCAAATCGATCGATTATTGACTTTTGACGCGTCTTTTCTTTTGGTTTCGAAAAATTATTTAATGGTTCTCTCTTAATCAATTCATTAGGATTCACTCGGTCTAAAGGACGATCTTCTACGAGGTGTAAGTAATCAACCTGTTTATTCTCTTTACTTAACCGAAACTAATCAAATTTTGGGTTTTTAATATCTACCAGATCTATGCCTATAACTTTGAAAAACCATCAGCAATTCAACAAAGAGCAATCTTGCCCATCACCAAAGGACGTGATGTGATTGCACAAGCTCAATCTGGTACAGGAAAAACAGCGACGTTTTCGATTTCGATTCTTCAATCGATTGATACTCAAATTAGAGAAACTCAAGCTTTAGTTTTGAGTCCTACTCGAGAATTGGCCACTCAGATTCAGAGTGTGATTTTGGCTTTGGGTGATTATATGAATAGTTTAGTCTTCTTTTTCTTGACTTTCCCTTATATTATTACTTGATTGAGGAAAGCAAATCTGAACTTTAAGTTTCTTTCTTTGATCATAGTTCAATGTCATGCTTGTATTGGTGGAACTTCGATTGGAGAAGATATAAGAAAACTTGATCATGGTCAACACGTAGTATCAGGTACACCAGGAAGAGTGTATGATATGATCAGACGAAGAAATTTGAGAACAAGGAATATTAAGATGTTAGTGTTGGATGAAGCGGATGAATTATTGAACTTAGGTTTCAAAGATCAAATCTATGATGTTTATCGTTACTTACCACCTCAAACTCAAGTGGTAGTACTTTCGGCTACATTACCTTATGATGTATTGGAGATGACGACCAAGTTTATGACCGACCCGATTAGAATTTTGGTCAAACGTGATGAATTGACACTTGAAGGCATTAAACAGTTCTTTGTGGCAGTTGAAAAGGAAGAATGGAAGTTTGATACACTTTGTGATTTGTATGATACCCTTACTATTACTCAGGCTGTTATCTTTTGTAACACTCGTAGAAAAGTTCGTCTCATCCAAAAAACTAGGGTATTCTATTCTTTGATGATCAGTGCTGTATTCTAATGGTTTCTCTGTTTATTCATCATAGGTCGATTGGTTAACTGAAAAAATGAGAGAAGCAAACTTTACAGTCTCTTCAATGTAAGCACTCTCAATATCTGATCTCTTATACTGTTCATCAGAAAAAATTGATGTATCTGATTTTTTTTTGAATCGATTTATAGGCACGGTGATATGCCACAAAAAGAAAGAGATACGATTATGGGAGAATTTAGGAATGGAACTTCTAGAGTTTTGATTACTACTGATGTTTGGGCCAGAGGTATTGATGTTCAACAAGTTTCATTGGTGATCAATTGTAAGTCTTTTTGCTTTTGGAAGGTTCATTTTGTTTTGAAAGGAAGGATGGTCTTTTTATTCATCATCATGAGGGATTTGTAGATGATTTACCTTCTAATCGTGAGAATTATATTCATCGAATTGGTCGATCTGGTCGATTTGGTCGTAAAGGTGTGGCTATCAACGTAAGTAAATTTATCCCAAAAAACAGTTTGGAATAAAGGAATTACAAACATTGACTTTTTTGGATTGAATCACCTTTGTGATTAATGGAATCGATTAGTTTGTGACTAATGAAGATGTTAGAATCTTGAGAGATATTGAACAATATTATAGTACTCAAGTAAGTTATTCTGATTTCAGTTATAGATTTTGATCGGATTACGTGTTTGTTGATCGTTGGGTCTTTGTTTGAAATAGATTGATGAGATGCCGGTGAACATTGGAGAAGTAGTATAAAAGAAACATCCTTTTTCTTTACGGTGTTTCAAATGATGTGGTGTCGTCTTCAAAAGAAAAGAAAAAATCTGAGTTCGGTTTTGATCATTTAGCTTTTATGAAAAAAGGGATTAAAAAATGAGGATCATTTAGCAGAAAAACAATGTATTGGTTTCTTTTTGTGGAGGTGTGGAAATGGAGATATTTTCGTTTACTGAAAGAATCAAAGAAAAGAAATCAAATTGGTTTGATAAATGATGAGATTTGTTTATCTATCATTCCATTATGTGTTGGTAATTGGGAGAACAAAAGTTTTTTTACTGTCTTGGAGGAGATGAAAGTTTAAAGCTTGTCACTGAAAACTCAAAATATACAGTGCTTGCTGTGTTAAATCCAGTTGAAAACTGCATAGTGAATAGGAGGAAAATCAAATAGAGAACAGTCTGGTTGCTTAAGAGTTCATTTGATGGGTCATCTAGGATTTGGAGTTTGATTGCTTTGAATACATATGGGTGTTGAAACATCGTCATCTGGTTGGTTTTTTCATGAATATATTCTGGGTGTAGAGGTGGTGAATTTTATCAGTTTTGCATGCATTGAGGTGTGGTTCATAGAACCTGTGGGAGTGAGTATCACGATTGCAATATATAAGTCAATGAGGATTTAACAAAGAATGATCAAATCAGTTATTATGATGGTATAATTTTGAATTGAAGAACTCAAGTCCTAAATAGTAACAGACCCTTTTCAGAACAAGAGCTCATCTATCACACAAGGCTTGATAAATGTATGAAAATTTTATTCTTTTGTATAGTACAGTGGAAGTAAGTCACAGTTTTGGTGTGCCAAAGAGGAATAATGTGATAATACATACAAAATCAGTCATGTAGATTGACTCTGAGCTCAAGATTCAAGTTTATATGAAGGACTAAAATGCTTGGTTCATGTATGGAGGGTTTCATGATAAAGAATTTCAGTAGATATGGGTCCAGAAGGAGTTGTTGGGAAAGACAACCATTGGATATGACTTTCAATTGAATTAGGATTGTAATTAAGTCACTATGTTTTGTTATTTGACTGGGTTCAGAAGACCAAGTAAGTGGTTCTGGCCTTTTATTCTGTAATTAATCACTAGACTTTTAGAATCAGGATAGAATCCAGCTTCCTCCTTCTTAACATCAGAGTAGAAGCCTCCTTGAAGATTGAGAAGTGCTAACAATGACTTTTGATTTGAGGTAAATATGGAGAAGAAAGTCACTGTGAGTATTGAAAGCTGTCCTTGTAGATATTCAAGCAGTCAACTAACTGCACATAGTTGTGACTTCATGATCTGTCATATAGGTAACAACCAAGATACCATCCATAGAAGATGTTATCTAGTAGCTACAAACCTAACACATTACTACACTTCTACCAGTACCAATGGTGGATCTCTGGTGGGTTTGAATTTAGTCACATCACAATCATTTTGACATTAACTAGTTCTTTTTCAAGAGTTAGTTCAGTAAGCTGTGGTTCCAAAGGACTCAATTTGAGTTGTTATCACAAGACAACAGCTAATCTTTTGATCCAATTGGCACAAGTCATGAAAATATCTTATTGAATCACTTTGAACTTATGGTTGTCTTTGAAGTGGATGATATTCCAGTGTAAGCATATCTGGTTCAGAATACAGAATCTCAGGAGTGCTTGGAGTTGGGCCTTGAGCAAAACTGTATTCATGGAGATGATCTGTGGCATTTGACTAGAACAAAAAATGTCCTGGAGGCATTCTTTGGGGTTTCTTTCCCTCTGGGTTTTGATCTGAGAGCTCCTTGCAATCTTGCCACCCAGATAATTTCAGGTCTGTAGTTTGATTGTCAGAAATGGATGATCTATTGAATGTTGTCTTTGATCCATGTCCGTGAGTTTTTTCATTTTCCTCAAGTTTGGCTTGGATAGATGGTTTTCTGTGAGAAGAATACTTGTGTCACACATAGGTAGCATTTTATGCCATCACAATAGCCCTTCCGATTGAGATCTCATCATGATAAATAAATCAAGTTTATCTTCAAATCCTTGATGTTTGATTTCTTTCAATGCACAACCTCTCATAAGTCTAAGACTAAGCCTTATACCATGATGAAAATTTATACCCCAGATTTCCATATCAAAAATCAAACTGTATCAGCCGCAAAAACAGGTCTAGGCATCTGATATAAGAGCCACAGGATTTTCAGATCTTGTCCTTGTGTCTCTCTTACCTGATCAGCAAGTTTGATTTGTGTCCTTCAATTACTGAAGTATCCAAATTGTAAGGTGTAGCATTTTTTCAGTCACATATAACTTGCTTCATCTTGCGCTTCTGATTTTGATCACCTAATTTCTGATTTGATATCTCACACATCTGTTGAACAAATTTTCAAGGTGAGTACCCCTCCTTAAGTCAAACCTAAGCTGGACTAAGCCCCTCTTGCACGTTCACTGTGCCTCTCATCTGACCCCACTTTTTCAAGTTTCCTCTGTGTGTTGATATGTGGTGCACATATCTGGCTGCAAAAGACTGACTTCAAAAACTAGTTGAGCATACCTTCTGTGTTAGAAATATTCTCACTATCTTTCCACATTTGTTTTGGCATGACAATGACACAACACTATCTGCTAAAATGTGTTACCATACTTATTTGCAGTTAACTACATTACAAAGATGCTACTCTCACACAAGGCTATCCTGGCTGTTTCCATAGTAACACACACATTGACTGGGGGACTTGGAGACCAAATTTTTGGCTAACCCAATTGGTCTAATCATGTTACCATACCTTTACTTATTGAATTGATCATACCATTTACACAAGGCACCCACAAAGGAATAGAACTTTGATTGTGTGCAATGCTTTTTGCAGCTGGTTCATCTATGATTGTCAATTATTACCTGAGTAATGTTGAGTATATCATGAAATTTGTTGTCTTGTCAAACTCCTGCCAGTCTTTTGAGTCTTTTGTGGCTTGACTGCACAAATACAGTATTAAGTTGCCTACATGGTGGAATGAGCTTTGCTTGTTATATAGACAAGGAGGTCGCCTCCTGTGAGAGGTACAAAACATAAGACCAGTCCATGGGGAAGTCATCCTTATCTATGCCATAATTACAATACATACACTTGATATTTGTTTTGGAGTGTGATGATATCTGTAAATAGCAAGAAATGACCTTGTTCTTCCACCTAATTATTGGACGCCTTTTTGGTCTGGTGTATGTGATTTGGGATTCATTTATATATTTCTTGTATGATTTAACTTATCTTGTGAGAAACCTTGGTTTTGCCAAAGATGTCATTTTTTCTTGAACTCTTGAAAGGCTTCCTGTGCACATTTGCTCCAGAATCTTTTCAAATGACTTCTTGTGCTCCATCAATTGAATCAAATCAAATAGTAAGGTGACTTGAATTAATTTGATGATCAATTATCTATGCGCAGCCAATCTTTAAACATTCAGGTTGTAGTCATTAATTTACAGGATCTTTTATATATCAAGTGACAAATTACTTGATCTTGATCAATTCTTCTGCTGCTACATGTTCTTTCAAGTTATAAGTTGTCATCTTTTGGCTTCAAAAACTACTGATAAGATAAGTTTGAGGGTCATAAGGTTGTAATCAGGCTAGTCCTTGTTTCCATCTGGTTTCTTCTTTTTACTGTGGTGATAGATATGTTTTGATGCAAGTCATATTAGGGGACAACAACAATAATATGCTAGTACTACTGTGCCACACCAGTTTCTGGTCACACAGATGTGAAAGGCAACTGAGACAAGCAAGAACTGAGCAAACTGAGACAATACAGGATTACTTTGTTCACTCTACTTGTTGAAACTCATTTAATGAAAGGATTATATATAAATATTTGAGATTATCTTCTCATTGAGGAAGATGCTGATTGGTCCCAAAGTTGACAGAATTCAATTTCTAATGTAACCAGAAAGTTCAGTTTTATTTACATAGAGCTTCAGATGATTGAGTTTTCAAGGAGTGAATGAACAAGAAGTAATTAAGCAGATCAAGATTCAAGAAGAAATGGAAAATCAGTTATAAATTAGAGTGGTACAAATTAAAGAATTAAAGTCGTGATAGCAAGAAATTCTTCTCCAAACAGGTGCTCATCTGATATACAACAGTTGATGAATAAATAAAGATGCTGTGATAATGTACAGTACCAGCAAGCTTCAGTTACATGTGCCAAAAAAGAATAAAGTGATGTTGAATGAGTCGAGTAAATTATTTTAATATCAAGATTCAGTCCTGTTGTGATTAACCAAAATTCCTGGTTTGTCAAAGATTTCATGATGATGAGGATCGTGGATATATTCAATTTGATTCTCGTATGGAACTTGTGGATTCAATTTGACTTCTCGTTCAACGATATGACCCATACCAGGCTCCATACTATTCAGTGCAATCATATGTGCAATAGTACCACGGTACTCAACTTCATCTTGTCTTTTTACGTTACAATCCACTGGACTTATTCCTTCTGGTATTCTTGTTTGATCTTGATAATAGGTTTGATTTGGACGAAATTCTTGAACCACTCGAGCAGGTTTCTTAGGTGATTTGGCCATGGTACGACACGAGTTTCTTGAGAAATTTGCTATAGCTTTCTGCGACTTTTTGTAGGCAGGCGTTTCGTCGTGCTGACCGTTTAAGTAATCTATATATGCTGGCGCACCTATCATACCCATGTAGGTAGCAAGGGCGCAGTCAGCCATCTAGCAACATAAAAATCAGGGATGTGCTCGATTTACAATACAATTCAGCACCAGTACCACAGCGAGCTATGAATTGATTGATGTCCCTTTCCGCATCGCATCTTTCCAAGATTTGTCGAACGACCTCAAATTGCTATACACCAGAATATAATATAAAGAGGAGTCAGTAGAGATATATCAGTAAATTCTTTGAATACACGCAACTTCGTCCTCGCAATTGCCGATGAATGAGATTTTCGATGTGTACTCGTATGCTGAAGATTTGATAAATTCGAGTCGATCTTCTTCGAGGTCTTGGATTAGCTAAACTTATTGCACGACCACGTTGGTCTTCCGCATATTAGTTAATTTTGTCTTTTCAAGAGGAGGATTCACGAGTATTTACGTCACAAAACAATTTCCATTGAAGGGTCCATTCCTGGACGGTATCCTGCAAGGCCTTTGTCAAGACCTGATACTTTTTTTCTAGATCGCCCAGTTGGAACAAATCAACAAGAAAGTGAGGAAATTTCTTGAGAAAGATCTCCAACAAGCTTTAAGATCTCATGAAGAAGGCACACACCTGCTAGGCCAATGCTGCTTTTTGCTTTATCTAGCTTGGCTGACACGCGATCCATCTCTCGGCCTTGAACAAGATGCATCTGAGCTCCGTAGGCAGTTACGGCAATGGCATCGACTTCAAACCGCTTGCGAGCCTGTAACAGCGAGAGTCCTATATGTGAGCCATACTCTCTGTGGTTTCTGGACATTTCCCGGAAGCAAGGCATTGATAGCGCGGCAGAAATGCGTGGAAGAAGACAGCTTACTTTTTCTTGAAGTGACTGCAATTCTATCAATTTCTTGTGAAGTTTTTCGATAGTTGCTTGGGGCTGACAAAGCAAACATCGGGTTAACTTGAATCAGCATAGATCTTTGACATAGGTCAAGTGAAGTTGATTGAGTCCGAGTAAGAAGGCTTGAGGATTATTCTTACATTTTTTCGAGCTCCCTCACGTCTAGCGATGAATTCGGCGACTTTCTGTTGTAGTTCCTTCTTGATGGTTTTAGATAAATCGGCCCTAGCTTGAGCTGAACTTATAGTACTATTCCGTAAATGCTCTAATCCAAGATTAAGTCCATCACCTTCGTATCCAATCGCTTCAAATAAATTAGATTTACTTAATCGAGTTAAGCGTTTAGCATAGTCGGATTCAATCGATGCTCTTTCTTTATAAAAATTTTCTAAATCTTGTAACATCTTTTCTGACATTTTACTTCTTTTTAGAATTTGTTGATATCCTGTTTTACCCCAGAATGAATTGCAAAATTGATCCGAAGTATACGGATCGGGAGTGTATGATTCATCATCACTACGACTACTAGAGCTTGATGTTTCGCTTGATTGGTTCGAAAGGCGACGTCGAGCTCGAAGATTGAACAGATCGCGAAAACGAGCCATTGGTTTGAAGTTATAAAAAATTCTTAGAGTCGATAATTATTGCTGAGTCCAAGTTTGCCCTGTGAGGATTGGACATGAAGGGGCAGAGGGGTTGAATGGTTATCATCCACAGCCGCTGTGCATAGACCTCCATCTAACCAAGGGGTCAGTTCGCTTCGTTGCTATCCATCTCTTCCATCATGACGCTGGTCCAGCTCAAAGACCATTAAAGGCAGTCGCCAGATTGAGCGATATTCTACTTGGTAGCTTTTCCAACAACATGCGTCTGTTTTGACCTTTTTAAGAGAAGTCCACAACAAAAGCGATTAATAGCGGCCAACATCTAGACAGACTCGTTCAGAATGTGATGCAAGTAAGGTGTAGAACATACAGCTCAAGATCAGATCTCATAGTGCCGATGTATACCAGGCGAATTTCGCAGGGTGAGCGTCTGCACTCTCGCTCTCGCTTCTTGCCGTAGTCAACTTTGCAACTCTAACAAGAGTTATTCACACAGAATGGCCATACTGAGTCATAATGAACACTCTCCTTCGGCTCCGAAGTAAATTGTGCACATGTACCCTATATCATCTCCTCGAGATACCGGTCGAAAGACCAGAAAGCATCTCAGCGTTGTGATCCGACAAACCACCTTGCAACAACATATGTGAGACCACTCGCGTGAAGATGTCTGTGGAAGCGGATGTTCAGAACAAAAAAGAATGATCGAATCGTTAAATTATCTGGTTTATAGCCAAATCATGAACTTGACCATATGAAAGATTGTGCCATACGAGACATCCTGCTGTGCAGAACTCTTTCAAATTCTCTGTGACCTCGACAAACACAAAGGCTTGCAGTCAGACGGATAGAATGATCACACCGATGGAGCTTGAGGGGATCGTTAATCGATCCCCTCAAGAGTCTCAAGGCTCTTGCAAACGAGAAAATGGTGGCGACAGAGACAAAGACAATTCTGTCGATGCGGTCTTTGGGATGCCAAATGGTAGTAATTCACAGGGGGAGGTTTGGTCCATCATCAAATATGCCATGTCTTCTCTTGTGAAGTGTGTTTGTTTTGATTCAGAATCATAGACAGAAGTTTCAATCAATTTCGTTAGGCGAGAACAACTACAGAACCAGGCGGATAACAAAGATTAATAAGCGCAATCATCATAAATGTTTCCGTGTGCGCCCTTTATTCTAGGCGGCATTGGGGGATTGTAGATTGTATATGAGGTGATGATTCCTCACTGGCTTTCCCTCCCATCCATACCCACATGGTCTTCCCAGTAGAGCAGAACTTACTGGCCCAAGACTTGCATACAGTATGCTGATGGATCCAACTTCAATGAGAGAGCCTGCGTAATAAACTTGTCTGCTACTCACCCACACCCTATGATCAAGCAAATATCAGGGGAAATCAGATGGGCCGTGTTTTTGAAGAACAGTCGCGAGAGCAACACTTTGTTCAGGATGTCAGGATAGTAAAGGTTAATGAGATAGCAAAATGCACTAGTAAATGTGAGAGTGTACGAAAATGTAAAACAAAAAATGACGAAGAAGACAAATGAAAAAAACGTTCTGAAAGAAAAAGAGAATACTTGAAAGGTCGTTATATTATACAGAAACAAAGACACCATATGATCACATTCATAATACTGTCACCATCTGAAAACATCAATCACTGAACATAATCACACCATACATTCACGTACAGTAAACAAAAACAAATAAACACAAGTTAAAGGTAGACCAATCCATTCACAACTAGAAGAAGATGTTCAGATGAATGTAGAAACTAGCATGATGCATGAGATCCCGCATTTTTACTTTTGCTTAGGAGTATTCCATCTAGGGAAAAAAAGCATTGAAGGTAAGCAAGGTGACTTGATGATCAGTAAGAGTGAAACAACGTACGAAAGATGCTTCATATCTCCGAGTCTTCTTGGTTTGATCAAGTGTCGAATGGTCAATAGAGCTCCGATCAAGAAACATAAGGCTCCTACTACAATGTATGCAATTCCTAAAAACGGGTTACGGCCTCCGATGAAGCTTACAGTTGAAAAGACAATCGATTTGGTGCCTCCAAATTGACTGACAGGGTAATCTAATCATGAAATGTAAAGTTAGACATGGAAACGAAGTGCAGAGGCGGAAGAAGGAAAAGGGCGCACTCATGTAGATATCAATGACATATGTTCCTGCCAGCATTCGATCGGTGTCTTGTCTGATGAAAAGCAAATCCCAGATGTGTTAAGTCAACCAGCATTCGATAGCATCCACATATCGTATATGAAGGGATACGACAAAGACTATAAACAAAAGGATTCTGTAGAGTCAACAAACCTGAAATAAAGCTTTCGAAAAGTGGGTAAGCCAGCTGTACGCATCCAAACTTGAAAATGTTCGTCCTGACTTAAATCAGGAATTGGATTCTCATCGGTATAACCATTAGGGTACCGATTAATCCAGAATGGAGGAGGAGCGACTTGTGAATTTGTATATTGAGTTTTCTTATACTTTGAAGCTTCACCACCCCATGCTATACCCTTTTCTGACATTTGATAGACTAATCCATTTGAGTTTGAGTTGGGTGGATTTAATAGTACAGGTGAAAGAAAGGTATCATTGAAAAGACTGTTCGCTATTAGTCCACATGGGTATATTGGCATGTTAGGGTTCGAAGGTGAGCGAGCCACAGGTTTACATTGATCATCTCGGTCAAGGGTGTCGATTGAGACAATCTTGCCTTTGAATTGACCTGTGGAGAGTGATTTAACGTATCGTCTGTGATTTTGATAGTAATTGGTGAGTTTATAATACATGAAAACGGGTGGGTCAAGTGGAACTGGAAGTTGAAACTGAAGGCGACATAGTGATTGACGGGAGATGTTCGCATCAGCCCTGAAGTTGGTCAAACGTGGGAAATTAGTTCAATTAGCGGAAGGAGTTAAACAATCTTCAAAAAACTAACTGGTTATTCACAAACAGCCAAGCGGGCGGAGCAGGAGCAGTGCCATTAGATGAGCTGATATGATAGGTGTATTTACTAGCCGGTAGCGCTTGAAAGCCATTGTTCGTGTCCCCACCAGCTTGAACTCGAGGTGCAGCCGTGTCACAATCAGTGTAATCGATGGTAAATTCTGTGACCTATGCAGTCCAGCATGACGGGATATCAACGAACGAAGATTCGTGAGACTGAAGGATATAATGTTGAGGTTTAAACTGTACATACTTTGTTACTTCCCCAAAGCAAAATACCACCGATTGGCGCGAAGATGACTCCGATGAGAAAGAAAATGGGAAGAACCGTCTTGGGAGTAAGGATCGGTTGCCAAGCTTTGAGACGCTGTTGCTTGAATGCGGTATCTTGAATTCAGAATGAAATAAACAAGCAAGTTGAGATCAGATCCATGAAGAAAAAGTTGAGATGAATGATGATACGAACTGGCAGGTCGGCGGGACCATTTCTGTTTATCTTCAGCCGTAGTATTGTTATTGGGATCTAGCTTTTGTGAAGACTTTCGATTGAAAATAGTCATGAGGGATGTTGTTGATGATGAACTTGAGAATGAGATGGTAGTTTTTTGATTTTCTTGATTTGGAATCGAATTGAAAGATTATAACAGCGGCCGGTCGAAAGCTCAACACAGCCTATCACAGCTCATTAGCCATGTCAGTAGTACGGAAGCCCCGACCCAGCACGGGGAGCCAGGCTCGTCTCGGTCCCAGAACCAGGTCGGCATAGTCTCGGCGGGGCTTCAAAGAAGATTGGGCTGACCCGGTCCGTGCCGTTGATGAGAACAAGAGGCAATTGGGACAACCCTGACAGTACTGTCAGGCCACTGGCAGTCAGGCCTTTCAGTGACCTGTCCCTCACCCGTGAAAGCCAGCATGATTATTTCACTCTTGCTTTCCACCACTTCACATCCCCGATGAAAGCTTGGTGAGACCTTTAATCACCGGTGTGACAGGCCCCGTGTTATCGTCCTCTATCCTCATCTCAGTTTCCCCCCTGGTCTAATCCGTCAATCACCACCTCTGTTTCACCACCTCACCCCAAGTTGACTGCAACTGTGATGCCTTCAAAAGACCCATGTTATTTCGGATCTCACTTTCACCGCATTGACAAGCTTTCCCAACTTACACGGCAAGGCGGGTTTCACCTATTCCGATCTTGAAAACGTGTCAGGTTTCATTTGTGGAAGATTTAATGGGACTCCTGAGTTTTTTACCTACAACAGGTAGAGCTGAAAGATTATGTAGAGAAGGATATTAGATCTATTAAGTAAGATTCCATTAGATTCAAAAATCAGAAAAAGTTGTGATTTTGGTCAAGATCGGTTACAACAATTTCCTGGTAGTTTATTCACTCCAGCTTATCAAACTTTCACTGCCAGCATAGATGCCTTGGGTTGAGAAATCTGAGGCATCATCCAAGGCAAATCCTCGGACAGACCTTGTCCGAGGTTTTCGCCCAAGGTATTTTTTTGCCATGAGAATTACCTTGGATCAAAACCTTGGGGAGCTTCTGTCCGAGGTTTTGCATCCGAGGATACCTTGGATTTTGTAATCCGAGGTAAATATGTTGGCAGTGTTTGGATCGAGTGAAGGCTAAGATTTCTAGTCTTGAACAAAAAGAAACATCTGAAGAAACATCTTGACCTTCATGATATCAAGATCTTATGGGGGAAATGAGAGATCTTCATGAGTGGATGACGACAAACAAAAGAACAATGTACAAAACGGTTGGTGCTTTCTTTTTTGCTTGCATGAATTCACGAGTTGCAACCAATTCACCTCCCTTTTCAAAAACACCAACAGCTTGAAAGAACACAAAGATTGAGACACTTCTTGAACTTCTGAATGTCTTGAGTGTTTAAAAAATGAATAATTTGTCATGACTTTGTCAATGTGTGGAATCTATCAATTCTATCACTTGTTACAACCAAGTAATGTAATATAAACAGTTAATTGATCTTCTGCATACATGCAAAAACCAAAAGATCAAGTAAACAAGATGGTGACTTCATTGCTTATCTGGACTCTGAGCTGTAAAAAAATTGCATGAGGGTTCAATCAAATTCTGTCCTTGTTAGTTATCTTGCTTCAATCAAAGTGGTCAATTTGAATGAAGAGACTTCAGACCTAACACAAGAATTAATGAAGCTCTTTGTTCTGATTCTCTTAGTGAGGTTTGAGTCTGTTTAGAGTGTTTACCATATAGATTGCTTGTTTTCTTTATTCCTGTGAGTAGTAAAGATTTGAGGGTTGGAATGAGTGAAAAGTTTGAATGATTTTTACCAGGAGTGTCTTTCGTCTGTTAAAGGGATGACCACAGTAAAGACAGGGGATGCAACAGGTGGCGGGTGACCTTTCAGTAACGGGTTATGACCCATGATTTCATGGGTTGTGGGTGGTACTGACAGTCAGTGTCAGTGTCAGAGCCTGACAGTCACGGCTCTCCTGGTGGCTGCGACCTCTGCCGTTGATAAGAAGTTGAGCAACTTAGAAGAAGAAAAGAAGAACACACTCATCATATTCACCAATGGATCAGTCAGCAAAGAAGGAGGAGGAGCTGCTGTGGTAACAAAATCTACTCATAAAACCATATCTCTCAGATTCCAAGAAAACTTTTTGAATCACAAAGCTGAATCAATGGGAATAGTACAAGCTACCAAATTGGCTAATGAAATTTTCAGAAGACATAGACCCCCTCTCACAGATCTTGCTATATTCAGTGATAATCAAGGAGTATTACATCTGATTCACGACACCCCTAGACAATCTTCAGGACAATACCTAATCATTAAAGTACAAACTAACCTAAAAAGACGACCTACTAATGCAAATATCAGATTGTGTTGGTCCCCAGGAAATACAGGTATAGAACTGAATGAGAAGGTGGACAAACTAGCTAAGAAGGCGGCAGCGGAAACGAATAACAAGATTACAATACCCACAAGTTTAGGTAGCCTCAAGAGAAGAACTAACAAAATTTTCAGCATCAAAAACATCACCTTTAAACCAGGGAAAAGCCCATTCACAACTCATCCAAAGGAAATTGCTAAAGGATTAAGCAATATTGAAAAAGGAGGGGCAGCATCAACTTTTCAGCTAAGAACAAAATATAGTCCTTTATACAAAAATGTATACAAAAGAAATTTAACAGAATCCCCTTTATGCTGTCAGCCCTGTGTACATATGCATGTACCCAAAGACTAACTTGTAACATAGATAACCACCTTTAGACAACTAATTACATGTACATAGGCCCTACAAAACATATGTAACTTGTAATAAATCATACATACGTCCTAATTACATATACATATACATGTAAAACCATATGTAATATGTAATAAAACACTAATTACACCTCATAACTCAGTGTCAAGAGTTAAAATGCTTATACTACATAAATTACATAACACGTATATGTAATTATGTAGTATTAATAATAATCATAACTAACAGTAATTAAACCCTAAACCACTGTAGTGATACAAACAAATATCACTACAGTTAGGTTTGGAGAGGAGAGTATATAAACTCCTCCTCTCTCAGCCTTCAGAGATCCTGACCCAAGCATTTTATTACACACTACTTTTAAAGAACAATTAAAGTTCTACTGAAGTAACATCAAGAGTCTTATAAATATAAGACTAGTGATATCTTCATTACTTTAATCAGTTCCTTGATTAAAAGTAAGTAATACCTTCACCCTTTCTGGATCCTCTACTTCCCCCAAGTAGGAACTCCTTTACACTGCGAAAATAATGTATTTTTCCAAGGTGACAAATGATTGACATCAATGCGCAAAATGATTAATAATGCAGAATTGATGCAGAAAAATGCAGAATTAATGCAGAATTAATGCATTTTTAATCATTTTGTGAAATAAATGTAATCATTTCTCACCTCAGAAAAATGCATTATATTTGCAGTGTTAGGTTGGTGACCTTCCAACAACCCAAGGCTAGTGACCTACATACAATTACTTCCAGGCTGGTGACCTTAAGAACAACCATAAGTTGGTGACTTTAAGAACAACCAGTGTAGTGACCTTTATATCACTCTTTAATCTGTTACTTAAAAGGATTAAAGGAAGGACCTTTGGATCCATCCTTCATTAATTATAACATTCATTTATTATAATTGTAAACCTCCTTTTCAGGAGTCACTTAACTGTAGTCTGTCTGGATTTATCCAAACAGACCAGTCCTTTTCCCTTTCCTCTTCTCTTCCTATATTTCTAGCTGTAATTACATTATATTTGAAATATAATTTAATCAATTGGAACCTATAAACCCCTACATTGCCCAATTTAGTGAGCCTTGAGTACTCATCTGAGCACCCAACCCTCACATTTGGGGGCCACATCGTGTTGAAACCCAGATTTCAACCTCAACTTTTACCAAAAGTGTGAGATTTCATACATCTAGACAAAGAATAAAAAACCACCAGACTATAAGATCAAGTGTGATTGATCACCAATCATCTCACTCAACTAACAACAGTCATTGCACACCCTTAATACAAAATTCTCAAGCATAACATACTAAATAAAAACAATCATCAATACATTAAGCATTGTGATTGGTCATCACACCACTCTCTTTTGACCAATCCATATCAAACACTTTCTCAACCAATTTACAAAATTGTTCAAAAAAAAAGAGAGAGAAAGGAAGGAACCTCATTTTTTTTTATCTTTTTAGTTGTGATTGTTGTTTTGTTTAGTTTTTTATCCTTGAGTAATACACTGAAATCATTTTTGAGTATTCTTTAAATCAAAACAACCCGAAACTGATATTACAACATCAAACGGGTCAAATATTTACATATACGAGATTTCGAGTTTTGAAAATCAACATTGGAAATACAAAAGTTCTTTTCAAAACACAACACATCACAAACAAAAGGAACAATCAATTCAGGATATCGCAGTGGACAAACACTCAGAAATCAGATCACAGTAAAGGAATAACGGGGAGCTAGACTCAAAATCGGAAATCGATTTCTTGTCCGATCGGATAAGCCACACCAAACAAATCAAATATATAGAAGTAAGTACTTGTACTCATCGATACAAGCCACAGTTCTCTTATTAGTTTTCTTTTATCAATTGTTATTATTCTCATCGTAATATCAGTCTTACTACATTTTTTTTTCTATCTTCCGAAAATTAAGTCCAGTACAGAAATATCAACCAAAGAATCCTACTTCCAAATTCAAAAGATTGTTCTACTCCAACTTACAACCGCAAAAGAAAGATCAGACGATCTCAGTTTTTAGCAAACAGGGTGACGAACAAGACCACAACTGATTAGTAAGTACTTCTAACAACTCAGACAAGTTGATTCCCATCGAAAGAACCTGTTATCCTTACTTACATTACTCCATCAATCTTCAAAACCTCTTTCAAACTATCAAATCAGTTTTTTATATAAAAAGTATTACTCATAACTCACCTATCTACATATTTACTTTAGAGAAAGGAACTAACACCTTGTTTTGAAATTATTCTTTTCTCTCCTGATTGCTTCCACTCAACATCCTTATATTTGAATTTTTTTAGTGTCTTTTCCGCACATTTTCAACTCACTCGATCTTGCCAAC